CTCACACACACACACACACACACACACACACACACACACACACACACACACACACACACACACTTTCCCACTCCAACTACTGTAGGGTATATATGGTGCATAAACACGTTCTACTCCTAGCTATGGCTTTCTCTCACTCTCACTCCGCCCTGGAAATTGTTGCTGAGCCTTGGAGTATGTCTGATCTCTGCCCGTGGTTGACTCCTGTGAAATCTTTGACTCTTTGACTTCTGTACCCGGGTAGGGCACGACTGTTGATTTTCCTACGGCCGACTTTGACGTCAAGAAGCACTTGGCAATTCGATTTGACACTTGACCCCAGGCCTACCGACCTAAGGGCTTTCTCGGAACTATTTCAAGGCTCTCAGGTCAACCCTCTCGGAACTTTTTGCAATGCTGGTTCTAGTAGTTCTACTGTTCTACCCTTTTTTTCTGACTCTGCAGGGGTTTTCCCGAGACTGAGACGAAAGGGTCTCTAACTGGGACTCAAACCGGAACCTCATTCTACCAGACTGAGGGCCATTTCGACCAACTCTCGGACTGAGCAGACCTATTTCTCATTCCTGGCCTTGACTCAGACTTAAGAAGAATGTTTATGTGATGGACTCTCAAACCGGTTCACTTTCATATTCTTTTTGTTCAGTGATAGACTGCTCAACCTTTCCCTGTGACTGCAGCCTCTGAGTTCTGCAAAGTTGTTGGTTGAGTCCACTTGCAGTGAAGCATCTGTTCCTCGCTTCTCTTAGGAAGCATAGGAGCCAGGGAGCACCAAAGGCATAAAAAAAGTTAACAAACCCCATTACCATTATTTCGGAAGCGAGGGGGGGAAGGGGGGGAGAGAGGGGGGGCGGGGAGCGGGGTCAAGGGTGGGTATAGGGGCGCGAAATCTACCATTTTCATTTCGCTTCTTTGATATTTACATGCCTGAATGTTTAGCATTTACATCAAATGCCCGGCTATATTTACATGGCTATATTTACATGGCTATTTTACATGCAGTCTGAGCTTGTGGCTTATCTCAACAGCTAAGACTGTGTGCTCTTGGAGTAATAGGCAGGCATGGCACATAAATAAGATTACATCATTATAAGAGTTAATTAATGAAAAAAAGGATGTTCGTGCAGACACATCGGAAGGGAAATAATTCAAATCAATGATCATACATCTGCATGCACTGATTCATTTGCCTTGTGCCTCTTAAGGACTGCACGCCCCACGCCCACTGTCCCAAAAAGGCAGCATGAAGCGGTGAACCTCGTGTGACACAATGGCCTCAAGAAATTGAGATGAAGTTGAGAATTTGTAAAAGCTGCTGAACAATCCAGCAAAGTGAAGAAACAAACCTAACAGAGAGAAGAAATGGCTACTGCACTCAAACAACCAAAACAGACAAAGAAAAGAAACAAAAAGAAATCAAATGAAGACAAACACTTACTTCCCAAAATGTTGGCACTCGAGATCCTTCAAGGTTGAATTAAAACTGTCATCCATTTCTCCATTTCCATCCTTGAGTTTTCCTCTCACTCCTGTCTCCACCTCATTATCATCATCATCATCATCATCATCCTGATCACCATCCGAGTCATCGGCATACTCCTCATCATCTTGGTCATCATCTTCATCATCCTCATCGTCCTCGTCCAAGAAACCCTCAGATCCAAAGAAGGTCTTCACCGTTCGGCCATCAGGTCGGAACTCAAGCTCACCTTTCTTCTCATTTCCGGGAGCCACATTAGCGGCGAATCCACGGTCACCTTCCCCTCCCGTCACATTCTTCTTCGAGTCCCATCCTCTTCTCAAATCCTCCCCTACCATAGGTCGCCGGTTTGCTGATTGCTGCTCCCTCGGTCTACTGTTCCCCTCTCTACCGTATGTGGCCGATTTCTTTCCCCTACCATATTGCCTCCTCGTTTGCCTGGAGTCGTACGTTTGCCTGGAGTCGTACGTTTGCCTGGAGTCGTCCAGTGCCTCTGAGCTCCGTCCACTGACTTCCATCCTTGCTTCCTTCCTCCTCAGTTCCCTGGCGGAGCCATTCACACGAAAGCTTCTCCGTCGATTGGCACCACTATCCACACTTGTACCAAAAAAAGGCTGAGATTTGCAAACGTCGCTATAACCCTGTTTCTTTCTCAACGGATTGCAGCCTTTCTCGATCGCATCCCCCGTTACGATATTAGTCGCACTTCGGCAGATTCTGGAGGAGGAGGACTGTGCACGTACGCTGTGGCCCGGTGAACACAGGCTGTGACACCTCTGAAAGCGCCCGGCGCATCTGTGACAGCTTGTCTTGCACTCAGCAAACAGTCTCGTCACTGCTCCATATCCTGGCCCAGCAGACCTGGGGCAACAACGGGAATGGAGAGCATTAGGGTCATCGACGATGGGTAATCCTGGCCCGGTTGCAAGTGCTCCAGCCTTGCCCATTGCTGATAGGACTCCGTCTCCATGCAGATGAAAAACTCTTTGGCTTCGCGTTGCTCCCCCAAATCGCAGCGCAGAAGAGCACCTTCTACTCCTGCCATCGAAGGTTGAATTCTCCCAAAAGGACACACCTTTCCGAGCTCCATACCGTGGTCCGTTGATCTTTCCTCCATCAACGGCAATACCAGCACCAAGAACGTCCCGGAGAGCCAAACTCTCTCTGCTCTGGTTGATGCATGGCACGTCATGAATCGCAAAGCTGGCCATCCTTGTCACGTTGTGATGGCGAAGGCTAGGGAGAGTGAGGAACTATGCTAGATCACCAATGCTTGGCATATAGAAGCAATTGATCTAACAGCACAGTGTCACATAGCAGCCTCTCCCTCGAGAAGAAATGGACCAACTCTACAGAATAGAGATGATTTCGCTTTCCAGCAAAGCAAGCGCTGCGCATAACATAGAGTAGTGATTCCTAGCATGATGCACTAAGAACATAATATAACAGCAGCATCTTTGTCTACAATCAGCATTAATCAGTAAACTGTAGCAATGTAGTATCGATCGATGAATGAATGGCTAGATGAATCAATGAAATGGATGTGAGGAATGGATGGACGGATGCGTGTGGATGGATAGATGGATGGATGGAAGGGAAGGGATGAACGGATGGACGGGATGGATGAACAGACAGATGGGATGGATGAATGGACGGTTGGCAATGGCTTCTTTTTGTTGTTAGAAGGCCGAATGTCTACTAGGATGCCTAACTGGCTGAGCAAGGAGAGGAAGACTACAACGCGACAGAAAATTGGTTCTAGGAGAACAGCTCAAAATGCCCATGGTGCCAATAACGCCTTTGGGTAAACAAGGATTGCAATAAAAAAAATTGGCTTAATTATTGTCTCACTAGTTGCCCAAAGGGATCACCAGCTGGCAAGGCCACACAATCCATTCGTTCAAACTAGAGGTAACAATCTGCAACATAAATAGCACACACACACACACACGCACGCACACACACAC